TGCTGAAAATAGCCGACTGGCTTGATCTCTGTACATGGAAACTGTACGAACATGTGCGATGGTTCAGGAATGTGGTTGTTACCCGAGTTGTTCGCCTATACAGACCCTATAATGTAGGGTCTGTGGCCATGGCCTATATTACGTGTTGTTTTCTTGTCTATTAATTATTTTACATAATCTTAATACAGACATTGATTATGATCATTAACCTCTGTTGTGTGTTATAACCGTATTATTGCTCGTTAAACCAGGTTGAACTTTTAATCAGTTGGTGAATTCGCATTGGTTTATCATCAATCGGCAGACACTGCACACTCGTTCTGCACGAATGGGCATGTTTTGCCCTATCTAATACAAGCGTAACCATGGAAACGTGTATTTCTATTGTTATCTTCTTTATAAAGCGCGTTTACAGTTAAAGTTCTGGATTTTAGGGCGATGTTTTTCGTGTTTTTTCGTGCTTCAAATCAATCATTCAATCATTTAAGAACGTATAGGCCTAGACATAATATACAACGAAACATAAAGCATCAAATACTGTAAACTTTAATAATATTACGAAAAATATAATAAAAATCCACTGATTTTTTTTTTTCTAAAATAATACACAGAATCATTGAAAAAAAGCAATGCCGGTCGGCAGACTGTCAGCGTCGGTCGGAAATTTTGAGTGCCGGACAGGGCATAAATAATGTGACTTTTTGTGGCGTTTATATACTTTCTGCTTCAAAATCAATCACTCATTTAAGAACGTATAGGCCTAGACATAATATACAACGGAACATAAAGCATCAATTACTGTAAGCTTTAATATTATATTACGAAAAATATAATTTGGCAGTATATTAATATTATTAACATTCTTCTTCTTTCTCTTCTTCAATATATGCATCGACACTGTAATATGAAAATAATAAAATCCTTTGGTTTGATTATCAACATATAAATCCGTTTGTTTCAAATATATAAATCTAAATATATTATGAATCTTAAAACATTATTATTCACTTACACAAACATAATAAAATCAACTGTTCGTTTGTTCCAAATAGGTCAAATGAAATACATGTATATGAATCTTAAAACATTATTATTAACTTACACAAACCTAATAAAATCCACTGTTTATTTGTTTCAAATAGATAAAATGAAACATATGAATCTTAAAACATTTATTAACTTACACAAACCTAATAAAATCCACAAACTCATCGCATTATTAATGCCATTGAATTGCTTAAAACGACATTAATTAATTAGCAGCAAAATACCTGATAATACAACACGATTATTAACATATGATTGCACATATAATGTACATTCGTTAGTTTTAAATATATAAAAAGAAATGTATGCCATCTAAATCATTAATTATTAACTTATACGGGACTTACACAAAACCTAATAAAATCCACTGTTTTTTGGCAAACTAATGGCAGCATAATAATGCCACATTACTTATTTGGCAACATAAAAAGACCTAACAATAAAACACGAAATAATGGATACTGAGTCTGTAGCAGCAATAGCTTTGCGCCTACTTGGTGTTCCATACAAATATATCTCGGCCGAACTTGTTCACGGCCGAACCGGTCCTACACCATTTTAAACCGACTTGACCTAGGCCTATTCCAAACCATTTAACTACAATGTACTGCATTGTGAATGCGTCATCGGCGTTCCATACATATACACGCATTGGCGGCCGTTCTGGAGGGCGGCCGCTATAGGTAGCGGCCGATATGGGCCTAATTCGATGGAGGAGGGGGGGGCACCACGCCAATTCCCCAAAACGGGGTCCAGAGCAGGCCCTGGTGGGGGTCTGGGCCCTTTAGTCACATAATCCAAGATGATACTAAGTCCTTGTTGGCTGGGTTGTTTTGTTTGGGAAGGAGAAATTTTCTCCGTGGATTGATTCTAACAAAATAATTACGAAAACTCTCTAAGACTCAAGTTACTGCATCCATGACCGTTTTTATGTATTTCATAAAACCAATTTCTTCTAATTTTAAATACATTTTCCCATGAATTTGTTATAAATTTTGTTTATCACGCATAGACTTGCGCTAAATGCATGACAAATTTATGATCATGCATACGTGTATCTCCAAAATGCGTGTTTCATCCAAAATCACTTTGAAATGTGGGACTGTCCCACACGATGGGAGATGGTTGGTAACTATGAATATGACCCACCACATACTATTTATTAATAATTCGGATATACACTTTTATATCAGTGGCACTCGGCCAGTTAGGCGGTGCATCTATAACAGAGCAAATAAGGGCAAATAGAAAAATTTATTACATAATCACTTCCGTCTGCATCAACAATTTTGGAAATATTGATGCATGAATAATTTTATTTATTTATATTTATTTATTTTATTTATTTATTTTTTTTTTTTGTAGCATCATTTATTTTAACTCAAACACATAAAAACAACTTTGCAAAAAACAATTGCTCATAAAATGTAAAGGAATTGGCTCCGAATTCGGAAGACTTCAAACTCTTCCAATTGATTGGATCAGACATTGGGATCGCCGTAAAAGTTCAAAATGCAAAGTCCATTGGTCCAATGGGCTGATTGGATTGTTGACTCACATGTTCCACAGGGGCTCTCGCTGCTAAAAATAGCTTGTTACATCATGCATTACAAGTGGGCGGTCTTCCTTGTAATGGGTGTGTTTGGTTGGATTGATTGTTGTTGGGCAAAAACCAACCCACGACATCAAGAAAGAAAGAAAGGCAAAGGCTGGTTTAGCTCGAGGCAAAGACCAAAGCCTAGGTGCCTATGCCTACTAACTATAATTTGTTCCCTTCCCTTTGATGCTCGAGTAATGTCTGATTTTCTTTCAGCGGAATATAGGCCTAGGCCTAGTTTTGAATAATAGGCCATTGAATCACAGGGAATCCCCGGGTATAATCCCGTCCCCCCACCCCTCCCAAAAAAGAAAAAAAAAAAAATCTCGCCCTCATCAATTTTTTTAATAAAAGAGAGTGATAATCTAATGATTTTTTTCTATATGCCCTAAACAAAAAGTCTTAAAAATGTTAGATCTAAAACTTGTTGACGTTAGGGGTTTTCAAAGAATATAAAACAATTACAGCCCATGAAAATGAATCATTGGATTTGTTACTGTAATGTTACCACTTTTTAAAAATTATTATTTTATTATTACAGTTGTGACTGGAGCTACCGATGGTATTGGCAAAGCATACGCTGAGCAGGTATGGCCTATTTATTGTAGTACAGTACTTTTTTAATGTGAAAAGGTGATTCACTAATCAAATTTCAGTTTAAGATGGAACAATAACAGTAATTAAAACTAGATTTGAACTCGTCACTAAAGACGAGTTTGGTGATCCGCCGTACTTTGACCCTTATAAAGCGCGCGCAGTGCTGATTGAAAAATTTCATAATATGCTAAAATATTCTGTACAACTAGTGTTTTAAAAAAGAATAATTTTCAGCATTTTAAAAGATTTACGCATGCGTAACACGTACGGCTTGACACCCCGTGAGCAAGGTAATGGCACAAAGAGTGACTCCTGATATGAATACAGTGTCAGGAACACAAAATATGTAACAAAACGTGATTTCAAGCTTCAGTACGTTCTGTGTGCGTGGAAGTGAACATATGGCGTGTAAATTTGGAAAGTTTTGGAATACAGAAAATGAACCGAAACGTTTAAACTATCTGAATAGTGATATTGAGAATTTTGAAAATTTAACATACACATGTGTGCGTATACAGTAATGGCAGACGAAATTAAATATTGTCGTGTTTTTAAAACCGTCTGTTAGTTATTAATGCCACAGGAATTTTCCCTTCGTATAACCTATACTGTATATATAAGTCTGATAGCGTCGAAATACAGTCTGCCGCCCTCTTGTGTTCTATTCTTTATATCTTTTAGAATGAGAGATAAGAATGTTCTAAAATTTCATTCTTTTTGACCATGCTGACGTGATCAAAATGAAAAATAAAGGGGCACGTCCGAAAGAGATTTAGCTATAACATACTCACAGGTGGGAGACAATCAATCAAGATAAGCAAGATACGTTCAAACAAGTACAAAAGTAATAACGTCATAAATAAAAAATTCAGTTTTTTCTTAATTCAAATGGCAATATGATGACGTCACAATGTCCGATCAGCAAATATGATCTATAAAATCGTATCTACAACTCATGTGCTTTCAGAATATGTAATAAAAATTGGGGGTCACCTTTCATCCTAAGGAGCTATAACTGATTAAAAATATTCATGGTTTTATGCATATATATATATTTGATGCGCACGTACGGCATTGCTATTGGCCATAAGATGACCAAAAAGAATGGAAATTTGTGAAAACAATATCAGGAACCCAAACTATGTGAAAAACCATAATGTCTAGCTTCCGTACGTGCTGCGCGCATAAAAATGCGTGCGCGTAGTGGAAGATTTCAAAAAAATTCGAAATGCTCAAAATGGCCTGAAACATGCTCTAATTTAGTCTAAAAGTGATTTTGAGCATTTTAAAGATTAGACGCACGCGTAATGAAGCGCACACGTAAAATTAAGTTACAGTACATTCAACATTAACCCGAAGTTAATGCTCACTTAATACGATTTCGAAATGGCAATTGGTTAGGCTGATATTATCGATAATGTAAAAACGCAAAATTGCGCGTAGATGACGTCACGCATGACTGAGCGTGTTGAAAAGCTTACCATGACTATTCCAGACCAAGCCAAATGTTCGTTGACAGCGATTGTGCGTAACTCGTGGCATTTTTTGAGATATCGTGCGAACAGAAACAGGGGGAGAAAGAAAGAAGAATAAGAAAAAAAGAAGAGACCGTACAATAAGAGGTGATCCGCTCGAGAAGCGGATCACCAACAATAAAATTTTGTGATTGTAACTAATTGTTGCATCGATAATAAGCCAACACAATTTCATGTAAATAGATTTATGTATTTTTATAATTATTATATACGATTTCATATGTTTACTGTAAATTATTAGCTTTAAAAGGAATTTTTTAAAGTTAAAAGCATTATAATATTATTTAATATTTTGATACTGTAGGTAGAAAATAATGGGTGTTGGATTAAGCTGCAATCGCACTCTTAAATTTTTCAAAATTTACAAAAAGAAAAATGGGAGAAAAACAAAATTAAATTAACAAATTTTTTTGTGAGAGTGCCATTTCTGCCAATTTCAGTACTGTAGTATGACCCTCTGTCTGCAAAATTGATTTTCTGGGCGCCCTCTATTTCAAATTCCTTGATGCGCAACTAGTTGTATTGGAGTACTGTATTGGAAATGGTATAGTATGTGTCCTGATAGTTGCAATTTCCATACAATGATAAAATTACTTTGCTTTAATGACGAAACATTAAAAAAAATAATTTAAATTATTGTACTCATATTATTATCTAAAAAAAAATGCTGCTTTGTGTTCTTTTTAAATAGAAATGATGTTTGTGCCCTACTGCCCTACCTGACATGTTTTGGTACTGAAGAATGCTCAGTATTAATTATTTTATTATTAATGTTAGCCGCCTTTCATGGAAAGACAAGTGGTCATCAGAAAGACAAAGCTGTCCTGATGATTGCGTCACCAACTATTTAAATTAAGCTCATCGACTGAGTCAGGAAGAGGGGTGCTTTCACGAGTGAAAGTACGCAGACATCTCACATTCCCACATACTTGTAAAAAAAATCTTGAAAATGATTTTGGGTGAGAATCAGAGTAGCTTACTATAGGTCAGTCGACTAGACTGGTGCTAGCCACTGATTGTGCGCTGAACCAAGGAAATCTCTTAGTCCCCGTTTCAAATCCCGTCGCTGATCCCCTTTTATTTCAGCTGGCTGGCTTATACGCAAGTTAAGATAGCCAGCGAACCGTCTGCCGGATGAGACATTTAACCCGTTGGTCCTGTGTGCGTTAAAGAACGCAGTACACTTTTCAGAAAAGAGAATTCAACAGTCCACCAGAAGGACCCCACTGGAAAAAAGCCTTCGGACTTTATAGTGGGTTATTTTTGGTGTGATTCACACCAAAAATACTCCAATCCTATCCTATCGAACCCGCAACCTCCAGATAACCAGCTTGGTGTCTTAACCACTAGACCACTAGTTCTTAATGGCTAGTGTTGAATCTGATCCCCAAGTAGCAGAGGGTACTGCAATGCTATTCCGATAGAAAACAAAATTGCCATTACTAATACTAATCTCCTGATTTTTTTGTTCCACAGCTTGCTAAATTGGGGTTAAACATAGTGCTCATAAGTAGAACATTGTCAAAACTGCAAGCAACAGCATCTGAAATAGGTTAGTTTTTATATAACTCATATTTCATATTTATACTCAATATTATAATAGCAATAATAATATTAAAGAGTAACTATAGTAATACATTAATACGATTATGATAGTGTTAATGTTAATACAGTGCACCGTCTAATTCGAGACCCTCTAATTCCGAGACCCCTTTATTTCGAGACCACATTTTTAAAGAACAAATAACATTCATCTATCTTTTAACACAAATCTAACATTCTAATTAGAGAGCAAAACCCCAAGACCACCTTTTCATGCCCCTAAGTGGTCTGAAATTGGAGCTAGTTCCAGACGCTAGTTCCAGCCGCTCCTCGCCCATGGTTCGGTTGGTAAAACCAAGTCTTCTCGGATAAGGACTTAAAATGGAGGTCCAGTGTATACATCTGGCTCGTGTGCACTTTAAAGAACCCATTGCATCTTTCAAAAGAGTAGGGGGTTACCCCGGTGTTATGGTTCATTTCAGCCCCTGTCGTTGTGGAATGATGTTAACCCTCTGGATACCGGATTCTTTTGTAGTGCAAACCCTTGTATACCGAATTTTTTTGCAGTGTAACAAGGTTTTTTGCGTTTTTTGAGTATATGTCGTTCTGGTGGATTTTTGGGAACTTTCTGTAAATTATACAGAAAAATGTTTCTAAAAACAAAGAAAGCTTATAGAATAAGCTTTC